ACAAACACACCTATCAAAGCATAACAAAACAAAAAACAAACTTGCCAAGAACAAAAAGAACAAACAAACAAGCAAGCAAACCAACCAAACAAAACAGGAAAAGCCCTAACAAGCAAAGCAACAGACCGGAAAGAACAAACAAACAAAAAAGGTGCAAAACAAACATAAACGCCACAACAACAAGGTACAGAACTAGCCACCGCCAAAACAGGAAGAAAAACAAACCGCCAAGCATCTGCCACTGTTTTCAGCGTGCTGGTCTACTTGTTTTTGTTTGGCTGTTCTTGTTACACCGAGTACCAAGAGAGACAGAGATTGGTGTCACTGTGTGACAGCGTTTTTACCGAACATCCATTTTCTGTGCATCCTTACCTGCTTGTGTGCCATGGCCCTATCGCAACAGCTGGTTATGGCGCTCATGGAGCTGCTTTTTGATTGGTTGGCCCTCCAAACAGGAGATGAGAGTGACCCGCATGAAGAACTGGAGGCACACCGTGAATGCTTGCGCAGCATCCTGGGCTGTATTGGTGTGCACCGAGCCTCTGAAAGCTTTTCAGAATGTTGGGTGCTTTTGACTCACTTCAAGGGGCTTGATGAGCCTGAAGCAGTGCAGCTTGACCAGTTGAGTCCAATCTCTGCTGCTGCGCCCTCTCCCACATGCCGCCACCTATCAGAGTTGAAGGATTTGCCCTGGGCTGATGTTTTGGACGAAGAGATTTGCGGCATGCTTGAGTGGGTCCACTCATTGCAGGACTTGTTTGCAAGTCGAGACACAGACGTTGATTTGTGGCTGTGGGATTTAGATTTCATGCTGAATTGCGCCCATTTTCATTTGAAACACAGGTAGCTCCAGACAGATCGCAGACCTGTCCTTAGGCAGCTATGGTTGGAAAAAACAATGCCTGTTCTTTTTGAGCGCCGTTTTTTGTCTTTGAGAGGTGTTGTGTTTTGAACCGCTTTTAGAGAAATACCTTGAGAGTTACCCTGAGAGTTTCCAAGAAATTACCTTGAGAGTTACCCTGAGAGTTTCCAAGAAATTACCTTGAGAGTTACCCGGAGAGTTTTAAGAAATTACCTTGAGAGTTACCCTGAGAGTTCACAGACCTTGACTGTACTCTGTATTAGCCTAGACCTACCGCTCAGCCGTTCCATCTGATCAGACCCTCCCAGGAAATACGGTACATTGTTCACTGCCATACACTTCAGGTAACGTACACGAGCAAAATATATTTGGCACGCATGGGTCACAAGGTTTGCGTGTGTGTTGGCCTTTGCAGTGTGGGAGCCAAGCCATCATGCCGCCTCTCCGAGTGAAGACCAGATTGGTGGCCGACCCCTGCATTGGGGTTTCAGACCTTTTGGATTGCTTGGAGGAGTTTTTGGACGAGATGGGGCACAATGATTTGCTGAAATTGGTGGAGCCCATTCCTGGGTTGACAGTGTCATGGAAGTCAAGCACCCACCCAACCTGGCTTTGCAAATACGCATCCTTGTTCAGAAGACTTCTCAAGGTGGCCCCCAATGGCGTGATACCATCAAAAAAGCACAGAGATTCCCTGGAGAAATTGTGCACCAAAAGGAGTATCAAACTTGGGAAGTACAAGACAGCAGAAGAATGGGCAGAAAAAATTGATGAATTGATCCGCATTGGGCTGTCCCACTTACGAGGCCTTCGCCAGGATGCTCTGACCCGAAGCCGGTGTATGAGGAAAGCTGATGGTGGGGAACAAGCCATCTTGCAGGAAGTCTTAGATTTACTTCCTGACTATGAGTCTCAAGGCCAGAAGATTGAGGAAGGAGAGCCTTCAGCTTTGGTGCCAGTTGACCAACCTGGAGAATCTGATAGCCAGCACACTTCAGAGGAGACCCCTCCCCGTTCAGAAGCGCAGGGCACCGCGCCTGTAACCAAAAAGGCGGTCCCTGTTTTGAAATTGGTTGTGGACCCTGCCAAAGTCTTCCGCCAGGTTTTGGAGAGGCCAGAGATCAACGACATCGACGTGGGGAAGGAGGTGAAGTCTTTGCCACCAAAAAGCACCCCAAAAAAGTCACCTGAGAAGAAATTTGGAGGCTTCCTAGATGGTTTGATCAAGATGGGCGTTGTGGATGCCGGCGAAGCTGGACTCTTGCAAGAAGCGTCTGGCTGTGTTTAAATCTCAGTTGTCAAGAGCCAACAAGGCCAGGAAGAAAATTGATGAAGAAATGGCCGAGGCCGAGGAGGGGGAGCAAGAAACCGAAGAACATGAAGAGCCAGAAGAAGAGGAAAGCCAAGAAGAACATCCCAAGAAACCGAAGACAAAGCAAGGCAAGAGAGGCAATAAACCCACCGTTGCCAAGAAGAAGGCCGCCAAGCAAGCCAAAACCACAGAGACAAAAAAGGACAAGAAGAAGACAGGAACCAAAGATGAAAGTTGTCAGAGGGGAAAAGAAATGAAGAAGAAGGACCAAGAGACCAAAAAGACTTGGAAGGCAACAGACAAGAATATTGCGAAAAGGAAAGGCCAGATCCTGGAGACCAGAGCAGAGACAGAAGAGAAGATCCAGCCAGATGAGCCCAAGAAGTACCCTGATACACCAGAAGACTTCGACAGCGCAGTGTCAAGGGCTGTCAACCGCAAAAGGTTCACAAGCCGCGCTTGGCGCAAAGCTTTTTGGGCGGCGAAATCTTCAGGGGTTGATCCTGAAACATCCAAGGTCCGTGCGCGTGAGGGCTCTCAAAATGCAAGCGTAGAGTTTGAGCGCTTGTGGCCAAAGAAAGCAAAGAAAGGGCCAATAGAAGATGTCAACTAGAGCTTCCTGACACTAGCTGTCGGTTGAACATGTGTTGATAGCGCGTAGAAAGATCAGCAAGGATCTTTCAAAGCTCGAACCTGGGCATTGGGGTGGAACCTGGGAAAAAGGCCGATCTGCTCCTAGCCAAAATGTTTGATGTGAGAGCTTGACATTCTTTCACCTACCTGGAGAGAGCTACCTTGAGAGAATTACCTTGAGAGTTTTACCAGATTGGAGAATTGACATTTGAGTACATTAGTAAGTGCGGAATGTTTGGACAGGCTCAGGGGTTTGTATGTGAAGACATAATGTTTTGAATACACGCTCCAAATTCAGTCCATAGAAATTACTGTAGTCCATACATACTTATATAAACTTACATTGCAATCAGGCCTTACACACACACACCGCAAATTCAATCAACCTCTTCCCCCCAGAGTCTCATGTGCGCCATGCACCGTGTCATTGTGAAAAACCTGGACAGTGCACTGGTATCTGTAAACAAGCTTCTAGAAGAGTTCCATCGGAGGGGCCTCAGTCAAGTTCGACAAGAAGATATCCATATCAGCCGCAAGGGCCCCTGCACTGCAGGAAAGATGTGTACGGCCTTTGTGACTTTAACTTGCAATGAAGAGATCCAGACGGCGGTCGATGCTTTGTCTGGCCAGCAGTTGTGCCATCTTTCCACCAAACCTCTCTTTGTGACCAAAGCTGTGCCTCGAGTGAAAGATTGCCAGGCCCACATGGAGAAAGACTTGGAAGGTCGAGCTCTCTGCGATCCATACCTTGATACATCGACCAAAAGCAGAGATTTTGACCCTTCAGCAGAAGCTCAAGGCATTGCTCAAAGCACAGCTTCATCGTCGGGCTTGGTCAAAGAAGAAGATACTGAACTACCAAAGCTCAGAGTCTTTGTCAGGCAGGATAGAAAAGAAGACAGCAAAAAAAAGAAATCAAAGAGGAGTCGGAGTCGATCACGCAGACAACATCGTCGTCGTCGTCCTACAGAGAAAGAGGATGATGAAGATGATGAGCCACCACTACCTCCCTGGCAAAGGAGGCAATCGATGCGAGACAACATGCCAAAAGAGGCAAACCAGTGATTGCAAGCCAGTGAAAAATTGCGTGTTGCCAGCCTGCTTCCGTTTGCTTTTGTTTTAGTGAAGTTGAGGTTGGCAAGGTGTTGCAATTAGTGCTGTGACAGCTTTTTTGTGGTTCAAGAGTTTTGCCGTTCAACGCTTTATCGATTTCATCGGTTTCAATGGAGCCACCAAAGTACGGCATTGTCTTTGGCTCTGATGGAAGCGTCCTTCGTGGGACACATGGTACTGGCCTTTCGTCCGAAGCAGGCGATCAGTTCATGCAGATGGCACTGATGAGCGCCATCGCCAAATTGATGGCGAAAAAGGAGAAGGAGATTGAGAAGGAAAACCGGTACAAGCCAGATGACCCAGCTAGCTCATCTGGTGAAGCAGCCCCGCAGACTTCCTTGCAGTCATCTCCAGCCCGGAAGAAGAAGGTCAAGTTGGGGAAGTTCGGGCAGAAGCAGAACCGGAAGAGGCGCTCCAAGCGGTCGTTCCCAAAGTACTAACATCGAGGAGGGCGACGTTGCAAGGTGAGCCGTTTTTGGAGCCTACCAGGGCATCGATCACGCTGGATGGTGCTTCCGGGTTGGTTGGTGTGCTACCAGAATACCATTCTAACTACCTTGAGATGTATGGTGTTTACATACCAACAGTTGAGGACCCATAAGAAGTTTTGGAGAAGTTTCCATGTAACTTCCTTCAATCACTGAAGAAGTTTTGAGGAAATTTCCTGGAAACTTCCAAAGCTGATGTTGTAGTTTCCAAGGCACTTTGATGAAAGTGCCATGGAAGTTTGAAGTTGATAATTTGCTTGTCGTATGAGTTTTGAGCAATCTATATCATAAACTTCCTCCAAACTACCTTCAAACTTCTTCAATACTTCCTTAAAACTACATCCAAACTGCCTTCAACACCTGAGGAAGTTTCCAGGAAACTTCGTCGAAACTGCTTCGATATTTTTAGCGCATTCTAAAGCTGATATACTGAGAGCTTATACCTAGAGAGAGACCTTACCTGGAGAGACCTTACCTGGAGAGCCAATACATACCCAGGAGAGTTCTGCCAGACCAATGTGTCATACCGCAGCTGCCACCAATCTGCACTGCCGTCCAGTGTGAAGCCAGTCTGTTTGGACCCTATCCATCGATGCCTCAGATGAAGCGGCCAGCGTCAAGTCATGGCTCCAATGGCATGAAGCGGCCTGCCGCCTCGATCAACGAGACGGTGAATCAGATGAGGCGTGGAGTCAGCGGGATCCTTGACAAGCCTGTGGATAAGGAAGAGGACCGTGAGCAGTCAGACCCTGAACAAGAAGAAGGCCGAGACAAGGCCAAAGGCCAAAAGTATGCCAAGATGAAGGACAGCTTGCCTGAGCACGTGATTGACCTTGTCGAAAAAGAATCGGCAAGGAGCTCATGCCCTCGGGCCTTCAAAACAAAGGCCATCAACAGGCTTTTCAGCAAGGACAAGAGTGGCAAGCTGGTCTTGAACCTCGAAGATGATCTGTTCACAGAACACAAGCGCATCTTTACCAAGCGGTATTCGAAGGAGCAAGATACCGCACTACCAGAATCGATCATCAAAGGGTTGTATTTCCACAATTCCAACACTGCGTTCGACTCTGCAGTCCAGAACGGTGACATCGTTCCAGTGGATTGTGCCTGGGCTTGTATTTCTACTTGTACTTTATTCAAAAGGCATTGAGATGGTTGGGTTTTCCCTAGCCATGACCCCACGAAGTCCCTTTTCATGTCTCCAAAGCCTGGGTTTTGGAGGGGCCACAAGGAACTTACTTGGGTCTGCTTTTCATTCCTTTTTTCGTATTTAATATGATAAAAGGAAGGTGAAGTTTGTACTTTAGCTGGATTAGATTGGCAAAGGCAAAAGAATGGTTTGCTAAAGAAACCAAGTACATTCACTCCTTGGTCCGCATTTATGGTAAGTCATCCTGGGCTCGCTAGGCTCTCCTGGTAACTCTCATGGTATGTGAAAACTCAATGTGTTTCACTCTCAAACCCTGTAGATGCAGACAAAAATAACCTACCAAAGTTTTTAATGTCCCATATGCTTAACATTTAAGGAACTATCATAGTGCAATCTAAGGCAATGGAAAGCGGATGTGGACCTTCACGACATTCAAGCGTGGCAGGGAGGATGCCAATGTGACGGAGCAGGATTTGACCCAGAAGAAGAAAGTCAACAAGGCGACTGCCAAGCAGCTTACAGATGCTTTTGAATCTGTGCAGTGGCGTTGGAACTACAGCGAGAAGGATTGCATGAAGTTGACCCCCGGAAAGGCCATCCCCAAAGCTATCCACGACCTCATCAAGGATGCCGCTGACAGTCAGGCGAGGCTCCAAAAGGAAGCAGCCGCACTCATCAAACAGTGGCCATCAGAGATGCAAGACAAGAAGCTCAGCAGCCTGAAGCAAGGGCATGGTGTGTGCGCCCAGCATGTGGCGAAGTTGAGCCACATGACGGAATTTGGGGAACTCCCAGGAGGGATGGAGTCGACCAAAGAAAATCTCGACGCCATGATGTTGGAGATTGCAGAGCATACGCAGGAGTACAACGAGTTGGTTGAGGTGGCCCGGGCCATGATCAAGGCAAGAAAGAACTGAGCAGTGAGGGGAGAGCCGCTTCGAGCCAACAGTTTTCCACCCTCTGTCTGCAGATGTTTTACATATCTGCATCATACCTTTGTTGTTTGAACTATGGCATCAATGGTTTTGTTTGTACTATGGTTGCTTGACAGGGGAACAAGAAGCGCTGCAAAGTTTTGAGTTTGCTAAAAGGTTTTGAGAGGAAAATCTCAGACTGGCGTGAGAAGGCAATCGTGATGGCACAAAGAGGAGTGAATCATTGCAATGATTCCAGTGAGGTTTGGTGTTGTTGAGGTATATAGACTCTTGCAAGAATATTGAGAATGTTTACAAATGCATTTCCATTTTGTGAGGCACTGCCTTGGGGGAAACTGTACCTTGAGAGTTAAAGACTACCTTTTGAGAGAATGACTTCACCGTGAGAGTTAAGCGCCAGCAAACACGACTTGTTGCGTTCAAGGCTGATCACGTGTCAAAGTAGATCTTCATCAACTGCGCAACCATATTTTCCAATTTGTTCTAAAAAAAAATCATGTGATATCTAACTGGATATCTCTCATGGTATCTCTCATGGTATCTCTCATGGTAACCCTCATGGTAACTCTCATACAACATGATATGCCATGCCAACAAACATTTTCTAACTACTTTTACATTCAGCCAACATAGGTGATTTCTATCAACGGGTGTAAGGCTTTTGCAATAGGCCTCATTCACATCACCATCAAACACCTACGCGCAAGAAAATCACAGATAGTTTGCAAAAGCTGTTCAATGCAGTCTATGCCATGAAAAGAAAGCATTCACCCCCATCAGGCCATCGCCGGCCTAAGGGTGGAGTTCGTCAGCGTCTTAGGGCAGCTGAGCAGAGGGATGCCTGCCCAACAGGTGAATCTACTTTGTGCATGCTTCTACTTAGTCTTTTTGCTTGGGGGGAGGTTTCCCCTCAATTGTGCCAAAGAATTGCACAGGCTGCTTATCAGGATGCCCAAGACATGAAACACAACAAGACCTCTTTGGCCGATTTGGAAAAGATGGCAGCCATTGGATCTCACGGATTCTATGCAAACAAATGCTATTCTGGTTTGATGAAATCTTTGCCAGTGCCAGTCCAAATTCCGCAAATGACTGTTGGCCGCTTGCCCTTCCAAGGAGGAAAGTGGCTGCAACAAGCTTTCTTGTTGCCTCATGAGCTGTTTTCTTGCATTTACCATTCTTTCCCAGACACATGGGCCAAATGCATGGTGCCCGCAAAGGAGCGGCTACAGAGCTTTTGGAGGAGCAACCGTGAACACCCTGCAATGGCTGCTTCTGACCTGCCCACCAAAGAAGGCTATGATCACCTTGCCGTCCCTATATCAATGCACGGCGACGACGTGCCCATCACAGGAATTGGGAAATCTTGGGCAGCTTTGATGACAGTCTTTAGCTGGAGCAGCATGGTGGGGACAGGGACGACTGCAGACATGCAATGGTTCATCTACGGTTGCTTTGAGAAGAAGCGGGTGATTGATGAGGACCAGTCAAAAGACACCATGGGAGTTTTCTTCAAGATCCTCCAATGGTCCTTACACTGGCTGTACAGAGGCCTTTGGCCCGACCGGGATTGGCTCGGACGAGTGTAATTTAAATTTGATTTTTTGGCATTGCTCTTGTGTGTCTTTTGGACCCCGGAAATTTTGTTTAGACTTTTACACCTTGAATGTTTACCCTTGAAGAGTCATCCCAGGTATGACAAGGCTAGCGTATCCGGAAAGAGAGCCCTCAAGCAGCTGGCCAGTGGCCACTACGGTGTCTTGTGGGGGGTGCTGGGAGACCTCGATTACATGAACAAGGTCTTGCTCCTACCCAAGAGTACTCTGGCCTCCGGGCCATGTTCTTTATGCAAATGCACTGGTTCTGGCCCACTCGCGTGGACAGACTTCCGCAAAACAGCAGGTTGGCGAGGAGTACAGTGGACGGCGGCCGAGTGGAGAGTGTGGCCCGGTCGCTCAAAAAGCCCACTTTTTGATTATCCCAACTTTTCGCCGTGGAACATTTGTATGGATTGGCTCCACGCCAAATATTTGGGCCTGGACCAATTGGTCTATGGAAGCATTCTTAGCTTGCTGTGCTATCATGTGATGGCACCTAAGGGCACACCCCAATATTGTCTCGGATTGGTCTGGACGGAGATCCAACGTTGCTACAAAATGTGGGACACCCCTTGCCGTTACAGGTATCTCAACAGGCTATCGATGTTCCAGCGCAGGACGCCGCAGTATCCCAAGCTTCGAGGAAAAGGAGCGGAGATTAAGTATCTATGCAGACCGCTTCTTTCTGTGTGGGAAAAGTTCTCAAACCCACAGCTGAAGATCCACAAACTGATTCACCTGTACTTGAAGATAAACTGTGAGGTAGAAGAAATGCTTATCACCCACAAAATGGAGATGAGCTTGCCATCTGAAGAAGCTGCGAAGTTTGAAGAGTTGGTGGAACACATGTTGCTGGTTTTGACATCAATCGCGGACCATTTTATTGGGGACAAGCTTTTCGGGTTGACCCAGAAGGCCCATTTCATCCAGCACCTTGCGCTGCTGGCCAAGTACTTGAACCCTCGGATGGTCTGGTGTTTCATGGGCGAATATCACCAGAAAAGGATGTCTGGTCTTGCAAAGACATGTGTCAAGGGGCAGCAAGCTGGACAAACAATCTTCAAGATGTTGCACCGCTACCGGCTGGCTTTGGAGCTGCAGTTTCGCCAGCACACCAGTTGAAAAAGCAGTGTAGTTCACATTGATTATATATACGCAGTGTATAGTGCTGGAGGGAGAGGGGAGAGAAAGAGAGAGAGAGAGACTTACCTTGAGAGATACCAGGAGAGATGCTTTGAGAGAAACTCGGTGTTTACCTTGAGATACGTTGAGAGAGGTCCATTTGTTTACCTTGGTGTTTTTGTCTCACTGCTGTGTCTCGTCTTTTGTCTTGTGTTGTGTTTGGTTGTTGCTTTGTTGCTTTCTCGTAACGAAAACAAAAGCGCGCAAGAGAAAGAAAAGAGCATGTACTATACAACAGCCCCGCAACAGCGACGACCACAACAGCAACAGCCACAACCCACACCCACAAACCCTGCCAACCCACCAAAACCAACCAACCAGCGCAAACCACACGAAGAAAACAATCAAAACAACAAACAAACAAACAAACAAACAATCAAGCAATCGATCAAACAAACACACGCAACAGACAAACAAGCAAGCAAGCAAGCAAACAATCAAACAATGAAACAAACAAACAAACAATCAATCAATCAATCAATCAAACAAACACACAAACACGCAAACAAACAAACACACATACATACATTCATACATACAAACGAACAAACAAACATACACACAAAACAATCAATCAATCAATCAAACAAACAAACAAGCAAACAAAAACAAACAAAACAAAACAAAACAAACAAACCTAAAGAAAAACAAACAAACATGCAAACATCCATCAAACTATTATTACTACTACTACTATTACTACTACTAGTGCTGCTGCTGCTACTACTACTACTACTATTACTATTCTAAATTCTACTCTTACCCCTACCACCACCACTACCAAAACAGCCACCAGTCATGAGGAAGTTTCTGAGGAAGTTTACGAGGCAGTTTGGAAAACTGCCTCAAACATATCTGCCGAATTCGGCAGATCAGGTTTAACCAATTAGTCAGAAAAAATTAAGATAATGTGTTCCCAAAAATAAGAGAATTTTTAAGAGAATGGTCTGCCGAATTCGACAGAAAAAAAGTTAACTAATTCATAGGAATCTCTTGATTCCTATGAAATAGAGATTCTCCTCGTTTTTGTCTAACCGGGTCTATTGGGTACTGTTTGTGGATGATTTGGTCTGGCTTTTTCAAGTTCAGCGAGGAAGCCTTGACCAGGATTTACGAGAGCGAACTCTATGACAAGATCTCTCGTGAGCTAAGTTGGATCCTCCGACATTCCGGATGGACACATGCTGACCAGTCGCTCACCGTTTTTGAGCTAATGGCCGGGGCTCGTTTTAGGAAGATGCTCAGCGTTTGGGCTCACACCTGCCATGCCAAGGAAGACCTTGCCTTCCCGGCCGTGCAAAAGGCCCAGATTCAGCCATGGTGTGAAGCCTCCGTTGAACGGATCAACCTGTTGCTACCGCTTGCCATCACCGTTATGTACAATCAGAAAGGCAGGTACCAGGTTGGCATTTTGAGCACTTCCGACCATCAAAAGGGTGAAAGGTTTGTTAGTAACCCTAATAACTGGATCCATCCAGCCGGTATGACGGCCGAGGATCGAAAGGAGCTTGCCCAGTTATACAAGCAATTCAGGGCAGCTCATGCTTTTGCGCAAGCCGTTTCCAGCCATTCGGGAGGCGCCGAAGCTCCAATTGCCGGCCTTAAGATCCCGAAGTGCCAGCTCTCCGATATGCCGGACACGCTGGTTCACATGACTGAGTATCGCCGCGTTCGTTCGATTCTGCAGTACGGTCTCCTTCCGGGAGGCGGCAGTACAGCCGGCAATAAGCAACGTAACATGAACCACTTTTTGCCGATCGACGGACTTTTGGTCTCTTATGAACACATTCGACCAACGGCCAATGTGGCGCTCGTCTTGTCTAAGGCAACGCTGAAAAAGCATCCAGAGCTCATGGAAAACTTTAGTCTGAGCAAGAATGGATACTTTTTGACCAAGGACGTTATTCCGGCCGGTCTTTTCAGTCTTGCATGGGACATCCGGAACAATTGCTGTGTGTCAACTAAGCTGTGGGACGTCCCAGATTCCACTCCAGCCATGTCAGTCCCCGATGAGCCGTACTTGCGTTTTTATTCTCAGCTCTATTGCGAGGTACTGAGGCTGGTAGGCAAGGGCCACGATAAGTTCAAGACTGAAACAAGGAGGCTTGCCTTTAAGAATATTAAGATTCGCGAGGTCGAGGCATGGCGCAATGAGGCCGAGGAGAAACTTGATCGCCATCAGCTCCACGGCATGTCCAAGATCCACACTGAGACATGGCTGAGTTTTCTCTCCCTCGACGACGACTGGAAGGATGAAGCCACAAACATGCGTCGTCTTAAGAAGCGCTCATTGTCGGAAACGACTGAGGAAGAGGGAGATGACCTGATTGATGTCGATGATGACGACGATATGGACGTCGATGCCGATATTCCGGCAGACGAAGATGATGATGTTCAGGTCATAAGTACATTAGATGAAGCCATGGTGGACGACCTCGCAGAAGCACGCCAGAAAGGAACCTGGGTCAAGAAAGGCACTGTGAAGAAGGAAGAGTCCGATATGCCGGACGATCCTTCAGCAGCCTCATCATCTGCAGCAGTCAAGAAAGAAGAAAAGCAGAGCACAAGGGTTTGGTCCTCCCGAGCACGGTCACGAACACCAACTCGTACTGTCCTTAAGAAGGCTGACCATACGCCGGGAGCCGCCCGCACTCCATCCGAAGGTCGCAGAGTTTCGTTTTCCGGTATTCCGGAAACGAAGTTCATTGAAGCAACATCCAAGAAGCGTGCGACCTCGCGAGCGCGGGAAGTCATCAGCGATGCAAGGAAGGCGCAGAAAGAACCAACTAAGTTCCATCATCGCCCAGAAGAGATGACTTGCCTTACCTGTGCGAACGCTGAGGTACTTTTCTTCTGCCGAGCATGCCGACATGGCACATGCCTTGACTGCTATCATGATGTCAGCAACCACTGCTCATGTAACAGCATTTATCTCTGTTCGACAGTCCCAGACGCCGATATTCCGGCACCGCTGGGTGAGCACGAGCGCGAAGAGATCACGGCAGAAATTGACTTCACGATTCCCTTCGCAGCCGAATCCGAGGGTTGGCACCCGGACGACCGATATGCCGGTCGATTGCACCGTCTGCAAGAAATCAAAGATCTTGTTCTCGGTGGCGGCTCAACAGGTTACGCAGCGATGGATCGAATTGTCCTCGAAGGAGTCAGCAAATACCATTACACGAACCATCCAACCTACAGGAGCCGTTCCATTCCCTCGATTGCTCAACACTGGGACGAACAGTCTGATGTGGCACCGTATCCAATCATTCGGCCAAGCTGCTTTTACGACTCCAATCGCCGATATACCGGCGCGGAGATGCGACAGATTGTCGAGTTAAGCCGTTCGTACATGCAGGGATATCGCGCGAACCAGGGAGACTTTGATCTCGATGAAGCAAGACTTCTCCGATCGACTGAACACGTCAGTGTCCTGCTTCGCTCAACTTCGGCGATATCAATCGTACACCTCATTTCAACGGCAGGCAGCCACTATCCAGGGAGCTCGCAGAGACCGATCAATACGCTGTGCTTCCGCATTACCTTGGAACACAGCTCATATCACAATTCTTCTTGAGGCCAATGGCATCGAGCGTCAGTCATCGAGAGCTCTTTAACTAATACAAATGCTTGGGCATTCTGGCCATGGCGGATGGCGAGTCACCTGCGATTGCAGCAGTCTGTTCCAGTGATCCACTTGGCACTTCGAGGCTGGAACTCATCCGCCGGATCGAACTTGAAGGCGAACGCCTAGCCTGGGTAGCCCATGCCGCGACATTCCGCGTGATCTGGGGAAAGGTCGAAGAATCCACAGATGGAGGCATCACCGATGACCGTGGAGTCCGAAAGAACCTCCGTGTTGCCCTTGAAGAAGGCGCTGATCCAGCAGATAACATGGAGGCAACAGTCTGCCCTGACACCTTAGCCGTAGCGCAAGCATCCACCACTTACATTGAAGCTTCGCCAGTGGATGCAGAGGCATTGTTCCACGAGTGTCCGACATTCCGGACCGGGAGCCTGAATGACTGCAAGCGCATGCACATGCCTGAACTTCGAGTTTGCGCTTTCCACATCAATGCCCATGCCTTTCAGTCAGGTATTACGGCCGGTAAGAACGCCATTATGAAGATTTTGATCACGGCCGTGGCAGACCAGGTGGACGTCATCGCGTGCGATGCTAATCAGTTCACGAACCGCAACTTCCGGGGCGATCGACATGCCGATCCAGGAACCGGAGCTGTCCTCACCATCCTTGACCAGATCCTTGTTTCTGCGAACAAGAAGCGTGAGCCGAGCAAGCGCATCACCTATAACTGGGAGGTCTCAACCCTCGCCAGCGAGCAGCTCGCCGCTTTGGAAGGTCTGGATGCCGATTGCGACTGCCTGTTGCAGATCGCCTTAAATTATGGCAAGGACATGCATACGTTGCGGTCAAGGACATCCGATATTCCGGATGATCGTGGACGTGTCGGATATGAAGGGCCTCCACGCCAGAAGGAGACTACCATTAAGGTCAACGAACTCCTTAAGCACTTGAATCATCTTGATCTGTGTCTGAAGAGCAGCGATTTGGGTTGCCACCACCCATTTCAGTGCAATTTTTCACTTGCCAGCTGACACAAGATCAGAGTTCGTGGCCAGCAATGCGCAGAGAAACGTGGCGAGAAGAATGCCGAGCGGCTTGAACGTTTGAAGGAACGACCTCGGCAGAATAAACAAGCTCGCCAAGCTGGCTGGCGCCAGCCCTGGTCCTCGGGAGCGTCAAGCTCATGGTGGTATACCGGTTCATCTTCGTCATCTTGGAATCCCGGTTACCGAGGCTACAGGGACTGGTAGGTAGTCTCTGCTCTAAGAAGCCGATATGCCGGCTAGAGCAATGCCGAAGCAAGTAGTCGTGAAAAGCCGATATTCCGGCCGACTACAGTAAATGCCACAAAGCT